CAGTAAAATAAGGGAGGCTTAGCCTTTCCTGGAATCCAGAGAGGCCATCTCTGGCCTTGGTCTCAGCAGAGCAGCAAGAAACACAGCTGTGGGAAAAACCTGGGGTATATTTAGTCTGGCCATCCTTGGAGCTGGGCAGCAAGTCTGTCACTGGGTCCCAGGACCCCCCTCCCTTGCTATTTTGAGTGCTACAGCCAATGCCGGCCACCCCTGCCCCCACACACACAAAAAAATAAGCTCAGGTTCCCTGAGGCTTGATTGCCAGTGGGGACCTCAGACCCCGGCCCTCCTACCCTGGCTTCAAACCACTGTGAAATGAAAACACCAGCTCCCCGACTTCAGAGAAAGTTAAGGACAACACTCAGAGTCATGAACATCCTTTAGAATCATGAAGTGCTGAACTTGGTAAGGAATTGTTATAATGTTTTCTCAGTGACAGCTATCAGCACCTTCTCAGATCTCTGCCTGAATAAATGTGAGTGCTCTGGTTTGGGGACTTTTATCATTGTAGTTATTATCAGTTTGAGTTTGCCCAACCACAAAGGTCAGTTGGACTACAAAAGGCACAAAATATTTAATTTTATACTTATTACCTGCCAGATAGTGTTCTAGATGTTTTACATATGTTATTTCTTATAATCATCAAAAAACCCAGCAATATTTATTATGCATGATACTGATGACATATACAGTATATTTATCAATATACTAATAATTTATGATAACAATTATCAACAATTTAGAGGAGAAAACACTGAGGCTTTGCCCGGGGAACTCACTTCAGCTCACACAGCTAGAAATATGAGTTCAGGGCAACGGTGTCCGTCTGTCTTATTTTATCTATGTCCACACAGGAGTGTGGCCTCAGAGGAGCCAGAATCATCTGTTTGGCCTTGTAACTAAATGAAATGCACACATGTTGCCCTTTTTACCTGGCTTGTCCCTGCTGTGCTTTAGCATTTGACCCTTGTCAGGGGCCTAGGATATGGATCAGTGGGTAATACATTTGTCTTCGTGGGGAGTTCACCTTGGACATCACTGGAGAAGGCTGTTCCCTGGGAAAAGACAGTCTCCGGGACATCTGGGTCTCGCTGTCAGACGGCCCAGGTATGAGCTCTAGGACTGCTTGTAATAGGATCGGTGACCTTGGGCAGGTCAAGTCACCTGAGCGCTTCCTGGCCTCCCAGTCAGTAAAACGGGGTGGTGGGGTTCTGCTGGGGTTTCAGGGTTTCATTAGAGCTGCTTTCCTCAGGCCACCTAAAGAAAGCCGCTTGCCCCATGACCGAGGTCCTCACTGACTCCTTAACCCCAGCGCAGAGTGCACAGGCCTGTAGGGAGGGTGGGGTGGTCTTCTCACCCCACGAAGAAGCTGAAGCCGTTGAATGCTGGGGATGAGTCAGCCATTCACTAGCCTAGATGCGCAGTCACTCTAGTCCCATGTGGCCCCAAACTGCAGGTCTGGGAACAGGTTCATTCCACACACTTACCCCCAGTTATGTCGCTCTTTCCTCTGTTCTTGCTATGGGGCTGTGGGGAAGAAAGAACAGGGTCAGAAGTCATGGGTGACACTGGTACCAAATGCCTGCTCCTGGGTCAATTCCCACAAATTCCATCCTTCTCACCTCTCTCCTGGAGGGAGTGCAATGAAAGTTTGTTGTCAATTTACTTCCTAAGCAATATTGGCCTCAGGTCACATAAAAATGAGACTGTAGTCCTTGGATAGATTACACGCAGAGGGCCCAGCCTTTGTGTGTTCTGCTGCTGATAATAAACCCACCACGAAATTGAACCTAAGTGGACAGGTGTGAGTCATCGCCCAGCCAGGCTCGCACAAGTGTCGTCATTGACGGGGAGCAGTCATACAGAGCATTTTCACGTGTTATCTCTGAAACCCTGAAGTCTTGTAATGATACCATTATTACTGTTACATAGAGATGAGGAAGTTGAGCTTCAGAAAGAGGCAGTGATTTTCCCGAGGCCAGCCCCCCCCCCGCCCCCTGCTCAGATCCTAGCTTTCCAGTACCGGGGAGATGGCACAGGGATGGGGGGAGGGCAAGGGAGCAAGGGGGCAGTGCCCAGGCCCCCTCTCAGGAGAGAGGGGCACATATGCTTCTAGTTCCTACTAGCACCACAGGGTGTCAAAGCCCCAGGTCAGGACACTGGGCAGTGAGAAGACCCCAAAGAGGGTGGGGGCCAAAGCAGAGCCACAACCAGTTTCAAGGAGAGGAAGTTGGAATTTTTTTTTTTTAATCCTCATCCTATGGTGTACTTATTGATTTTAGAGAGAAGGGAAGGAAGGGAGGAAAGGAGGGGGAGAGAGAAACATCGATGTGAAGGAGAAACATTGATTGGTTGCGTCCTATATGCACCCCCACTGGGGATAGAACCCTCAGCCTAAGCATGTGCCCTGACCGGGGATGAACCCACAGACTTTTGGTGTACGGGAATGACACTCCCACCAACTGAGCCACCAAGCCAGGGCAGAAGCTGGAGTTTTAGATGTTCCCGCAGCACCTGGGAATAAGAGCATATCTGCACAGAGCTCTATGAAGCTGGGGACCCTGGCAGAGATAGCAGAGAAGCAGGAACAAGGAGGACTCTGGACAGGCAAAAACATTTTGTCCTCAAGCCCTCTCAGTCTGTGCATGACAGGAAATTCCTCAACTCTCCCGAGACAGCCCGCTTTCCTGGCCACTGCAGCCCAGTCAGAGAAACACGGTCTCTGCATTTCCAATGCTAGGCCCCCCAGCCCACTGCCGGGGCATTTGCCAAGGCCGCCTGGTTGCCCCTCTGTGTAAGGCAGCAATGCCGGGGGCTGGGGCAGGGGACCGGGAGGAGAGCAGGCTGAGAGCCCATCCTCTGGTCATGGACCGTGGGGTTACCATGTCTCAACTGCCCTGCACTTCAGTTCTGCACCCTTCACAGCACACCTGACTTGAGGGAGATTGTCCTCCAGGCTCTCCCATCCTCATTCCCAGAGTCTGCGCAGGGAGAGCCCAGCAGTGAGCTGTATTTTGTTTTCAGTGCCAACAGATAAAAATTCAGTGGCAAATATGGAGTTAGGCCTTTCTCAAGTGTGTAAAGCACCCTGGAAAAGTATCCCCATGCCTACAAGCTTCCTGGAGAAGACCTGGATTTGTGGCCCTGTGCTAATAAGATCCCAAAATACCAGAGTCCGTTTCCCCCTAAGCTTAGATAAGCTTACGTGAGAGATATCACAGCCCTCTGTGTCCCCGCCCCTGCCCCTGCCCCTGACAAAAAGCAAAAACTACAACAACAACAAAAATTACAAAAGGATCATGAAGGTCAAAGCCGCCTGGCTCACAGGACAAAGGGCAAGATCAGAGACTAGGCAACTGTGAGCTCGTCCTGAACCAGGGCTGTCCTGTGTGGGTCATAGACTCTGGCTCAGCCCTTCACTACCCTTTTCCCTGCTCCTTACGTGAGGCCAGTCCAAGCCCAACTTGGGGAGGTTCCAAGAATAATGGAAAACCCATTTGTTAATCCATCTCCCTGGAAAACTGAGTGGGGGTGAGTGGGCCAGCCCTGAACCCAAAGAGTTGTCCTAGCTTATGTCTGACTAGCTGGTGTGCCCCCTCCCTCTCTCAGAGAGAGAGTCTCCCCACCCACAGTTTTTCCTGAGGTAATATTAATCTACAATACACTGCGTATGTTTATGGTATGTAATTTGAAACCTTCACCATAATTTCAAGAAATGAACATCTCCATCACCCTTAATGCTTCCTTGTGCCCCTTTACAATCCAAACCCACCAACCACCGCCCCAGGCTTTCTGTCACTGTATTTCACATTTCCTAGAGTTGTATATAAGTGGAATCATCCAGTATATGCTCTTTCCTTGTCTGGCTCCCTTTATTCAATGTAACTTTTATGAGATTTGTCCCTCTTGTAGTGTTAGTGTCTATCATTAATCCATTCTTTTTGCTGGTAGTATTCTGTTATATGGCTATATCACAGCTTGTCTGTTCATTCACTTGTTGATAGGTTGTTGTCAGTTTAGGGCGATTAAGATTCAAGCTGCTAGTAATGTTTGTGGACAAGTCTTGTACAGATATATGCTCTCATTTCTCTTGTATAAATACCCAAGAGTAGAATCACTGGATCACATGGTAACTGTATGTTTAACTTTTTAAGAAACTGCCAAACTACTTTCAGCAGGTATTGTATCATTTTATACTCCCACCAGCAGTGTATGAGAGTTCCGGCTGCTCCATATCCTCACCAACACCAGTGTTTAGGATGGTCGGTCTTTTCAATGTTAGTCATTCTAATGCATGCCGTGTCTTAGGCTTTCTTGGAGTGCTTCAAATCTCACAACATGGCAATGGAACATTATGAAGTCTAGAAAACAGTAAGGAAGCTCTTTAGGTCTGTTTTACAAGAGACATTACGATACATTGCTAAGTGAAAAAGCAAGATGGCAATCGTACATACTGTGCTATCATTTTTTAAAGAAGAAAACAAAAGAGTGTGCCTATTTGCACGTGTGTGTTCTATACATAGATCACCTCTGGCAAGATGAACAAGAAACTGAAAATTGGTGGCCTCTGGGGAGAGATAGGTCTTGATGGCTGGAGGATGGGAGGAAGGTAGACATCACACATACTTGTTGGTACCTTTTGAATTTTGTGCCGTACTTTTTTTAAAGTATATACGTTTAAGAAAAAAAAAATCTCATAAGATGCCACGTATTGGCTCCCCGCCCTGCCCCTTGAGGTTCTGAGGAACCAGAACCTATGCTGGGCCCGGCCCTGCAGAGGCCTCATGCTCTCCCCTCTGTCAGTCAGGAGCACTGTCACGCCAGGCAGAGAGACAAGCTCGCCAGTTCCCAGTGACCTCCAGGGCCTCATCTGTTGGTGATCAGTTTCTGGTGGGAGCCTGAACCTGACAGCCCTGTGCCAAGGGTCATTTAGCCTGTGTTTGTCAACCAAATGAACAAGTGAATGGATGTTCATTCACATTCTGTTGTCTGCCACCCAGAAAAGAAGAGCGACAGGAAGAGTGAGTACCTCCTTCCCACGGCTGCTGGCAAGCCCGTCGCACCCCATTTCCTGCAGGGCCTCTCTGACCTCAAAGTCATGGATGGGAGCCAGGTCACCATGACAGTCCAGGTGTCAGGTCTGTCTCTGCCTCTGTTTCTTCAGAGTGTATGTGAAAATGGGCACCATTGCAACATGGGCATTGCTCCCTGATGTCCCACTCAGATCACCGATCCACAGAAGCCGGCGTGGGACTGTCAGTCAGTGGGCCCGAAGAAGTCGAGCCTTGTGGTCCCTCTTTTCTGCTCTCTCTGGGCAGGGTTTTCTGGACTTAAGCTTAAGTGGTCCAGGGGAAGAAGATGGCCATGGCTGAAGGGTTGAGGGATTAATGTGAAAACAGAGCGTAGCCTACGTAGCTGGATGATTTTGAACACTGGTATTAAACCAGCTGACCTGATAATTTGCCAATTCTTGGAAGATGTTCTCAGTTGCTCTAATCAAATTTTAAGGTGAGAAAAAGGAGCAGAGGTTCTTCTAAAAGAGGGACTAGGTGATTAGCTGCCCAGTGTGAGAGGTCACAGTCCTTGCTACAGGCCAGCAAGAGAAGCCTAAGGGGTCAGGTTCCCCCTTCATTATAAAAATCGTTGCTGGCCACTGACCCATCTCTCTGAGCCCCTAGAGGTTGCCCTTCTGGGTTGTTGTTTGTTTTTTTATTATAACACACATGACTGCCAGAAAAATGGGAAGTATTTTTTATAAAAGGATTTTATTTGCATGTGTGTTATCTTTTGTTTTAAATTACAGTTTACATTCAATGTTATTTCGTCTTAGTTTCAGGTGTATGATGTGGTGGTCAATCATACACTTTGCAAAGCGATCCCCCAATATTTTCAGCACCCACCTGGCACCATGCATAGTTATTACAGTATTATTGACCACATTCTCTATGCTGCACTTTACATCCCCACGACTGTTTTGTAGCTACCAATCTGTACTTCTCAGTCCCTTCACCATCCTCACACCGCCCCCCAACCTCTCTTCCATCTGGCAACCGTCAGTTTGTTCTCTGTGCCTATGAGTCTGTTTCTATTTTGTTTGTTTGTTTGTTTGTTTATATTGTTCTAAGTGAAATCATATGATATTTGTCTTCTGCTGTCTGACTTATTTCACTTTGCCCTCCTCAGTTTTTAATTTCTTTTGAGCGGCACAAGCAATAAAGATGGACTGTGAGGGGGCCCATCCCCCTTCCCCTGCAGGCTGGAGGCAACCCCCAGACAGTCCAGGTGGATGGCTGAGTCCCTGCCCCTTTCTGCACTCCTCGAGTTAACAGAAATCAGAGGCGCTTTGCACCTGGCCCCAGCCATGAGCTAGCTAATCCACTGGAGACAGATGTAGTGCCCTCTTTCCTTGGGCCTCTCCAGAGCCTGACGCCACCCAGCCTACCTCCGCAGCCGTCCCGGGGCCTGGGCACTCTTGAACGAGAGCATAGCGGCTCCACTCTTCCTGTAGAGCCAACCCTCACAGATGACCGTTGTTTTACACTTCAACAAATTGCTAGAAACTACCCAGGAAAGTAGAATAGTAACACCTGAAAATGCTATTCTTCATGAGCTGTGTTCAAAATTCTGTACGAGCTAGTGCCCATCTTCCCCCTCAGACAACATTTGTAGGGTACCAACATGAAATGCCATGGAGTGACCCTTCTGGTGAAGAATGACAAGGGAGTTACCATAAAGTCACACCCAACTGCCTGGTGCTCATGCACAGTGTGAGTCAGCACAGAGAGGAAACACGTTCCCTTCAAACCCAGCGACCCAGTAGCCACTTGGTATCATCAGGCAGTTTAAATTCTACTTTTAAAAACCATTCTTCCTGGGTTTTCTTTTTCATCTATGAAACCATTTTTTTTTCACTTCTGGATTCTCCCTCATTTCCCCAAATCTGTTGTTAAATAATTATAATGAGCATGCATCAAGGACTTTCTTTGTGCCAGATGCTTTTCTAGTCTGCTGTTCTAGCGGCCTGCTGAGGGGGCTCTATGAGTTTACTTCATCCTCCCAAGAAACTCATGAGGCAGAGAAAATCGAATATTTTCTGGATAGGGAAACTGAAGCATAAAGGGTTTAGTGCAGTTTCACAGCACTCTGTGCAGCGCTGCCACATGCCCCAGGGAAGCACCTGCCTGACCGGTGTCCGGACCTTCCTCCCCATTCAGGGAACCCGCCGCCTGAGGTCATCTGGCTTCACAATGGGAACGAGATCCAGGAGTCAGAGGACTTCCACTTTGAACACAGAGGCACTCGACACAGCCTCTGTATCCAGGAGGTGTTCCCTGAGGACACGGGCACTTATACCTGCGAGGCCTGGAACAGCACTGGGGAGGTTCGAACCCAGGCTGTGCTCACCGTGCAAGGTGAGGCTGATCCGCCCTGGGGGCAGGGGTGGGAGGAGGTGCTGCCCTGGTCTCTCCAAATGGGATCTGGAGGCGAGGAAACCACTTTAGCCTGCTTTGTTCCCACCGTGGGCCCCTTGCTGTCTTGGTCCCACCCCAGCCCCAGGGACTTCACCAGAGACTCAGGCTCTGGCTGAGTAGCGCTGCTCTTCCCTGGCTCTGAAGTCCTTGCCCTCTGTGGTCACTGGTGACAGCTGCATAGAGTGCTAGGAGAGAAGTCTCATCATACGTGTAACAGTTTGGCAGTGAACACTTTTAACATGAGCTATGGGCTTATTAGGGTCCTTGCCTTTAGAGAGTCTCCATTTAGAAGGAGAGATAAGCACACACAAAGCAGGTGACAGCTCTTAATCATCACATCTAATGTAATCATTGATGCCCCTGTACATTCCAGGCTACTTCCCCTTGCATTGGATTCACAATTCATGTTACTATTATCCTCTGAGAATGTAACCAAGACAGATTTGCCATAAGAAGAATGTTATATCTGTATATCCAATAAAAGCAATTTCTAGACAAGCTGTTATTTGGGTAACATGCTGTCTTCCAACCTTCAACACCATGGACAGTTGAATGGACACTCTCTGCCGAAAGGCCTCCCTCTCTAACTCAATGCTTTGCCGACTTTCAGAGCCTCAGGATGGTACCCAGCCCTGGTTCATCAGTAAGCCTCGCTCGGTGACAGCCACCCTGGGCCAGAGTGTCCTCATCTCCTGTGCCATAGCTGGTGACCCCTTCCCCACCGTTCACTGGCTCCGAGATGGCAAAGCCCTCTCCAAAGACACTGGGTACTTTGAGGTGCTGCAGAATGAGGACGTGTTCACCCTGGTTCTAAAGAACGTGCAGCCCTGGCACGCCGGCCAATATGAAATCCTGCTCAAGTGAGTCTGCGTGTCCTGCCCCCAAATTCCTCCCTCCGATCAAAGTTCCCACCTGGGACTGGGAAGCCAGAGGAAGCACAAAATAACGTGGGGCTGGGCTTCAAGGTGAAGAAATTGCAGACTTGGTGCTGCTGACGAGTTTTTGTTTCTTCCACCTCAGTACAACAGATGTTCATGGAGAACCTTGCCTTCTGGGCTCAGTTCCGCAGAGTCCTGTCTTGTTACATCCTGACTTTTGTTCCCCCATTATTTGGTGTATGGCGAATGTGAAGGAGGGAAGGATTGATTAAATTTGGAAAAGCAGGAGCTAGAGGGAATGTATTAGTTATCTCTTGCTGCTTAGCAAATTATCCCAAAACAGTATCTTAGAACAATAATTACCCCAGTTCCTATGGTTTAGGAATTTGAGACAGCTTAGCTAGGTGATTTTTGGCTCAGGGTATCACATGAGGTTGCATTGAAGATGCAGGAGGAGCTGCAGTCTCTGATGGCTTGACTGAGGCTGGAGAATTCACTTCCAAGATGGCTCACTCACAGGGCTGTTGGCAGGAGGCCCCAGCTTCTTGCCATGTGGACCTCTCCACATGGCTGCCTGAGTGTCTTCATGACATGGCAGCTGGCTTCCCCAGTGCTAGTGACCCAAGAGGGAGAAGAAGCTGGAATCTGCAATGTCTTTTATGACCTACACTCAGAAGTCACACACACCATTGCTTCTGCCACATTTTATGTTGGTTAGAAGTGAGACACTAAGTACAGTTCATACTCAAGGGGAGGAGAACGAAGTTCCGCCTTTGGAAAGAGGAGTATCAAAAAATTCATAGACATCTTTAAACCACTGCAGGGAGGTTGACTATCCCCATTCCCTTTCCCTCCCTTTTAAGGTCTTTCCAGGTTACCCAAGAAGGTAAACTCCATGAAGGTACACTGCCATGTCCTCAGTGCCTAGAACATGTCTGGCCCGTAGTCTGAAAATGATCCAGAAATGTTCTTCTATGTTTAAAATGTTCTAATTAACCCTTGCTGGTGTGGCTTAGTGGACTGAGAGCTGGTCTGTGGACCAAAGGGTTGCTGGTTCAATTCCCAGTCAAGGCACATGCCCGGCTTATGGGATGGGTCCCCAGTTGGGGGGGTCTCCAAGAGGCAACTGATTGATGTATCTCTCCGGCATCAATGTTTCTCTCTGTATTTTACTCTCTCTCTAAAAATCAATAAATAAAATATTAAAATGCTCTAATTCTTAAAATTCCATGCCACCCCTGGTTGATGGACACAGAAAGTCAGCCCCCAGGGTTGGTGTAAACATTAAAGAAGAGCACCTGTCTGCACCTTGACTCCGCAAATAGGAGATTGTGCCACATCCCTGGCTGAGGTGCTTGCCACTTCGTGAGGGGGCTTGCTCTTCTGGATAAATCATCCCCCTGTACTGAGCTCATCGTGTTTAAGGCTCTGAGCTACAGACAGGCTCTGCAGGCATATGCTAAGGACACCACCATGAGAGGGCACTGTTCCTGCAATAATCACAAAACCTAGTATGTGCCCCATCCACTTGGGTTCTTTCTGGGCATGTGCTTTATACTTGTATCAGTTGGCTTTCGCTGCATAACAACCACCCCAATACTTACTGTCTTTAAAAAGTAGCCATTATTATTTCTTAGGAGTCTGTGGATCTGCTAGGAAGTTCTGCTGAGCTAGGCAGGTCTCAACAAATTTCAGCTGAGCTAATGTCACATCTGTGGTCAGCTGATAAGATGGTTGTAGGCTGGCCAATCATCCTATCATCAGTAGTATGTGCGGAACACACCAATGGCCTTTGTGTTGTGTCTGAACAGTTATTCTCAGAAAGGCAAATCTGCATCCAAAATAAAAAGAAGATACACTCCTCTTCTTGCCTAGGCTAGTACAAATCATGGAAACATTGTAGGTGGGAATAGAGCTTGTTTGCATGGAAGAGTAGTGCTTTGAGGCAATACTCATGTTAATCAAACCAGACATCCTAAAAGAGATGGGCTTTGAGGGTCATTTGGAGAAAAACAAGCTGAAGCTTAGAAACCAAGTAAAGGCCTGACTGTGGAGCGGGACCATTGAGCAGGCTGAGCAAGAAAGGGTAGGGAAGAGTGAAGCACGAACTGTGGGAAGTCGGCCAGGCCAGCCTGAAGGGTTGCGCTGGGAGGTCGGCAGGCAGACTGTCTGGGCCCAGCTGGGGACAGTCATAAAACTTAGACCATCCCAGTTGGAAGGGACTTCAGAAGTCACCCAGCCGCCTCCTCATTTAATAATGGGGGAAACTGAGGTCTCAGGGTCATGAACTTGCTCGTGGCCACACAAAAGCCATCAGCAGAGCCCAGATTAGAATCCTAATCTCTGTCTTCATATCAGGGGCTCTTTCATTCCTTGTTTCTCCCAAGTGCACTGGGAACTCAGGGAACCTGGGAAATGGCACTAGAGTCCCCACCCTCACAGCCCCCTTGCCCCCTTTCCCTCCCCAAAGTCCAGACTTTTCATTCCTTTGGGAGGCTGGTGGCCTGACCTTGGCTTTGTCCCCAGTAGAGAAGGAACAAGTCAGTGGAAAGTTCTCCTGGGGAATGTGTGCCAGGCCTGCCAGGGGCCCTGCTCTCCTCTTGCTTTTCTCATCCTGACAGAACTCAGACCTAGACCCAGGACAGAATGTCTTTCAAGGAGGAAGACTGGGTGGCTGAGGGGAAGTGGGGGTGGGAGGGCTGGGTTGGGGTACATGAAGTGGGTGGTTTCTACCTCCCCTTCCCTTCCCTAGCTCTTGTCTCCTGAACTAAAAGGAGGAATGTCAAAAAGTTATCTCCAAATTCCAGCTGAAATATCTGAAAGATTTTTGCTTCCCAGAAAATTAAATCTTTACTAATTTTGCATATAAAATCCATTCTAGAGGTGGGTGATTTAGAATGGGACAGGCTCCAAGGCTTTGTACCCAAGGAACAGGTTTCTTATTCAGGGGTGGGAGGCAGGGGCAAAATGGACCCTGTTCATAGAAGGTGCAGCTTACATGGTGATAGCTCCTATCCTCTGTGACAGCATCGGGGCTGGACATGGGGGTGTGGGGGCCTCATCCTCAGCCCCTGTGCCTACTTATAACTGAGTATATGCAGATACCAAGATGGCCCCAAAAGCTGTTCCAACTGGTTAGATTATCTGGTGTGTGGGTCCCAGGCAACAGGCCTCTCTGACCTTTTCAGGATTTGAATGAAATATGATTTGCCTTAAAGGCCTTGCAGAGATTTAAGTATATGATTGCAGAAGTAGTGACCCCTGCTAGACCACCCCTAGAGATGACTCACTTAATGGGCCAGCTGCGGAATCCCAAGTTCTCTACCTTTCATCTGCTGCTCAGACTGCCCAGGTGGCTCAGGGGAAGGCCTGAGAGTAGGGTGAGCACAGGCCACCTTTGCTCACCTCCTTGAGGGCAGGTAATGGAAAACAACAGAAGCCCTTACCTGTGTCCACCCGTGAGGAGACAGAGCTTATTCCAGCTGAGGAGGCAGGGCGCCCCACCATTTAAAGCTTCTGAGGAGTTTGGCTGGGGAAAAGCAAGGCCATCTGGTCAGTGTCTGCGCCTGATTTTTGCATCTGGGCTGCGTTCTACTTGTGACAGGAGGAAACTCAGTTAAGAAGATGTTGAAAAGAACTCCCAGAAAAACATGGCCCTTGGGCATCCTGTCCTCCTGCTTCACACCAACCCCAAGCACCATACCCTGTGCCTGAAAGAAAAGTGGGAAAAGAATAGCCTGATTCTGGCCAGCAGCCTAGCGGAAGTGTGGTGCCCAGCAGCGGGGCCTCCCCCCAGACGATGTCCTATGGTTATTCTACAGGTTGACCCAAGTTCCATAGCCTTCTGTCTAGAGTGTTCAGGCTACTGTGAGGGCCTCTTAGCCTTCCCAGGACCTGGCACTGTGGAGGCACCTAATTGCTGTTTGTTGGGCAAAGGAGCACCCCGGGCTGTTGGACTTTCTGGACATGAGACTCCCTGAACCTTCAACCTGTGCCCCCTGAGAACCTGAGCATTGCGGGAAGTGGTCCAAAGGGGACCCAACAGATAAGAGATGGGGTGAAGGTAGCAAAGGTCTACCTTTCCTCACTTCAAGTGGGTCCTAGTACCAGGGAGTGAGCAGTAACCACCAGGAGCCATGAGAATCATCTGCCATGCCCTGGGCTGCCAGTGCCTGCCCAGCACCAGCCCTGCATTGGGAAGGAAGCCAGGCAGAATGAGGCAGGTACCCACATACATAAGCAGAGACCCAGGAACACTTGCTCAGATGTCTGTCCATGTGGGGTGACTGGTGCATGGGCACATGTTCCCAAACATGGATTGCAGGTGCAGGTATCCACCAGCTCAACTCCACATACACGTGAATCCATGAGTGTGGTTGAACTAAACATACACACATAGACACACATGAACACACACATATCCCAAACTCATATCCCAGAATAGACTTATATTGATGATCATTGTAGGGCGGGGTGGGAAGGTCATCGAGCTTGAATTTGGGTAGACCCTTGTCTATGGGTGTAGGCAAATTACTTTTATAAGCTTCATTTTTCCTGCCTATAAAAATGATGCTGACCCCAACCTCACAGAGCTGTCATAAGATTAAGTGAGATGGATTATGTAAGGAAATTGACATTGCACATCTGCGGTGGGAGGCAAGGCATGCATCAGCCCAGGAAGGGCTAGTAAGATGGCTGCGTGCAGGAGAATGAGAGGGAAACCCCAGAATCCCAGCACTGCTTTGCATAAACTTCTGAACCTTACCTTTATCTTTACCTTTCCTTACCTGAACCTTTCCTTACCTATAAAATGAGCATAATTGTGCTCTATACCTCACTGGGACATTTGGGGACAAAAAGGACAACAGATGTGAAAACTGTGAAAGTTGTAGGGTACTATGTATAAAATGGGTGGTTATTATCATGAAGAGTTGCCTTTGGCGGTCAGACCTGCCCCTCCCCTCACCCCTTCCCCAGTCAGAGCAGGACCCCTTGGCTGGTCAGAGCTCTGAAATGCCAGCAGATGGCAGCCTTGTGGGGCCAGAGGGCTGAACTGCTGCTGTAAATCCTCCACAGCACCCAAGCGTGGAACAGCCCGTCCACTGAGCAGAGAGGCCTCCGCTGGTCACCCACCAGCTCAGAGAGGTTGAGCAGTTTTAACAATGGGTTGAAGAATCCAGAGCCCTTGCCATCTGAAGGAAGAAGAGAAAGGGCCACCCATTAGGGAGACACCTGCTGGGTTTCAATACAAAAAGTTCTGATCTGAGAGCATTAGCCAATGGATACGTTTTGGAGGGTGTTTTCATTTCATGAGCAGGCAAAGGGGAAGTAATGGATGAGAGGACACTGTGAGGAAAGGGAAGTAACCAGCTCTGCACTAAGGGAACAGTGTCAAACTGAAGGTCACTGGGCAGGCGTCATGACCAAAGCCACACAGTCTAGACCAAGCAGCTCCATCACAGACAGCCTCCATCAGGGTTAGTCTTTACTCTTCTTTTATTCATAGAGTGATTGATTGGTTACATTATTTTTGTAATACACTTACAGAAAAGTGTTCCTACTTCTGAATGCTATCTTAGCTGTTGTCCAGAAGATGATCTCTCTCTCTCTCTCTCTCTCCCCCGCCTCTTTCCTTTTTAAACAAGAGCTGGGAAAATAAAGGATAAGCCAAGCAGGAGGCAGGGGGGATGGCCCTGCCCTAAATTTAGGTCTGGGGTGGGCGTGTTGGGGTCACAGCTAAGCCTTCTCTCCTTGAGCCAGCAGCCAGCCTGTGGTCAAGTTCCTACCTGTCGTTCCCTCGTCACAGCCCTTGGGCTAAGAATGCCCTGAGCCTAGAGAGCCTCTTGATCTGTACTGATCCCTTGAATTTTTTAGGAACCAGGTTGGCGAATGCAGTTGCCAGGTGTCACTGATGCTACAGAGCAGCCCTACCCGAGCCCCACTGCGGTGAGTACCCACAGGAATTGACTGGCCAGGCCCCATGCCACTACCCACGCGCCTCCCTCCTGGTCCCTGCAGGCCCAGCCCAGCAGTCCCAGATTGTTTGTATCCTCCAGCTGAGGCTGCCCAAGCCAAGAGGGAGCGATTGGAAGGGGAATGAGGGAGGGAGAGCGGGGGGGGGGGGGGCGGGGGGGGGGTGAATTTCTTTCTTTCTTTCTTTTTTTTTTTTTTTGCACACACCCTTATAAGGCTACTGAAGTCATTACCAATGTAGCAAACCAACTAAGCAAGCAAGCGCCTCTCACCAATGTTCCCTTCTATAAACACAGCCTGGCCAGCCCCCACCATTCCTTCCCCCTCCCCTCTACCCTCCCTCCCTCAGAGATTTGCTCTCCCCTGACGTCTCTTTTTTACCCTGCCCCTTTTCCTCCTGCTATTTTCCTTTTTCCCCTCACTGGTTGCAGGGGGAGGGAGCCTGCCAGCTGTGAGGGCCGCTGCGGCCGAGGAGCTGGTGCTGATGGTGGCGATGGTGACTGCTATGGGACCCTGAGGCCTAGCTGGCCAGCAAGGGGGCAGGGTTGGCCAGAGGAGGAGGACTGCGAAGGCGTGAGGGGCGTGCTGAAGAGGCGTGTGGAGACCCGGCAGCACACGGAGGAGGCTATCCGCCAGCAGGAGGTGGAGCAGCTGGACTTTCGTGACCTCCTGGGAAAGAAGGTGAGTACCAAGACCCTGTCGGAAGAAGAGCTGAAGGAGATTCCAGCTGAGCAGATGGATTTCCGCGCCAACCTACAGCGGCAAGTGAAGCCAAAGATGGTGTCTGAGGAAGAGAGGAAGGTGCATAGCCCCCAGCAGGTAGACTTCCGCTCTGTCTTGGCCAAGAAGGGGACCCCCAAGACCCCAGTGCCTGAGAAGGCACCACCTGCAAAACCTGCCACCCCGGATTTTCGCTCGGTGCTGGGCGGCAAGAAAAAATTACCAGCAGAGAATGGTAGCAATAGTGCTGAGGCCTTGAATGCCAAGGTGGCAGAAAGTCCCAAGGCTGCGAGCAATGCCCAGCCTTCAGGGTCCCTGAAACCTGTGGGCAATGCCAAGCCGGCTGAGCCCCCAAAACCTGTGGGCAATGCCAAGCCTACTGAGACCACAAAACCCTTAGGCAATGCCAAGCTGGCTGAGACCCTGAAACCCATGGGCAACGCCAAGCCAGCTGAGACCCTGAAACCAGCCAGGAAAGAAGAACTCAAGAAGGAGGTTAAGAATGATGTGAACTGCAATAGGGGGTATTCGGGAGCCACAGAGAATGAAAAAAGATCAGAGAGCCAAGGGACAGCCCCAACCTTCAAGGAGAAACTACGAGATGTTCATGTGGCAGAGGGTGAGAAGCTGCTACTCCAGTGCCAGGTGTCCTCTGACCCCCCAGCCACCATCACCTGGACGCTGAATGGAAAGACGCTCAAGACTACCAAGTTCATCATCCTCTCCCAAGAAGGTAATGAGGGCAGGAGCTGGGGAGGAAGGGGCTTTTGCATGAGAGTCGCTGTCAGCTCATGGGGCCTTGGTCTTGTTGATCGCCACTCATAGCCTAGGGCCTCTGCGTCTCCCTCACTCATAGGATAGGTGCCCTGCTCAGGGACTCTGGGTACCCACTCCATTCCTGGTGGGGAGTCTAGTTCTGTGGCATGTGCCCGGGTCTTGGCACCTGTCCGGCAGAGCCGTCTCACAACACCCCCAGCAGCGGCCTCCTCAGAGCACAGGGGGCCTGCGCTAATGCCACTCAGCTCTTGCTTGGACAGGGCTCTGTTCACAGGCTTGGAAATGGAGGTGCAGGGGCTGGAGCCAACGAGGAGCTGAAAGTTAACAGTTGCTTTTGCAGCAGCATTTTGGGTTTGGAGAAGGGTGTGCAGTGACAGGATGGCACAGGGCTGTGAATTAGGATCAACAACAGCTGAAGTCTTGATAACATTGTGGGTTTGAAGGGAGCTGTGGGGGAGCTCAAAACCCCAAACATACCCTATGGCACACACTCACCGGTGGACAGAGCAGCTCGCTTCCTAATTTGGATGAGACTTTTGTTTGCTGCGATTTCACATTCTTGGGTGGTGGGGAGAAGGGGGGGCTCTAAATCCTGCCATATGAGGCCTTTCGGGGTCTGGAGTTCTCGGAAGGGCCAATTTATACCTAGAGAAGTGATAGGGTGTGAGAGGGGTATTTTCCCTGGATCTTCAATTTGGTTTGAAATATTTTTGCAAGTCCCAAGCCTGGGTGTAAGCTCCAAGGCCAGCAGACTTCCCACACCCCCCTGGAGTGGCCAGTGCTAGAACGGAGTCGGCCTGAGCCTGAGGCTGATGCTGGTGGCTCTGGGTAGGGCAGGGTACAAAGCTCCCCCAGAAGGGACATTGCGTCTTGTGAGGAAGAGAGCAGCCACAGCAGAGGCCCAAGGACAGGTCTGGTCAAATCCAGGTCAGCTGAGATATCAGAAAAACCTCTCCCCATACACTGGGCTGCTCTCCTCCCTGTCCTCCAACTGCACCCGTCTCCACTCCTTCCCTGACCCCTTGTTTTGCTTCCTTCCTTCCTTCCTTCTTTCCTTCCTTCCTTCCTCCTAAAAACTGGAATGAAGCACTTGAAGGGAGCAGTAGCCCCCTCAGCTCACAATGAAGCATCTCTCTTCATTCTGCATCTCAGATAGCAAATCTGGAACTGCAGAGCACTTGAATCTCAGTGCTGAAGTAGTAAAGGGGAAATTGGTCAGGAGAGAGAAAAATGTTTTATTTTCTGCTAACATGTTGATAAGGCAACTGTTTCACATGGACAGGGTCCTCCAGAAGTCCTTTCATCCCTCCCCCTTCCTCTGCTGGTTCAGCCTGCCACACACAGGCAGGCAAGAGGATCACCATGGTGGGGCATGATGTCCAGGGGACGGGGTGCCACAACCTTCCCTGTCACCCCCATGGGCCTTTCCCAACTGGAAATTCTTTGGTAAAACTGACCCAAAACTTTAACCAGGAGTATTTCCCAGATTACCCTGTGGTGGTATCTCCGGGCTGGACGGAGGGTGGGCAGCTGACGTCTTTGGGACACATGTAGTTACCTAGACTTGCACAATGTGATGTCCACAGTAGCACCAACCCCAGGAAGACTGATATCCAGACAGCTGAAGGCAATGCCCAAAGCTGTGTAGCTGCTCTGAGGCCTGTGTTGAACCTGCAGAGCCACCAGCAGCCACTTGTAAACAGTCCACTCAACTAAACAATGTAAGCAGATCTCAGCCCTGGTCTCAAAAACACAGCTGAGCCATTAGACATTGGCTACTCTTGCCCAGAGTGCCTGGACTCTGTTATATCTGCTGGTCACTGAGTGTTAAAGGGCATAGAGAGCTGGCTACTTCAGCATCACCTCCCCCAGAAACCATCCCAAAGGGACAGTTTCAGTCGAAAGCAGAGGAAGAAGTGATTAAAAGAAGGCCAGCACAAAGAGAGGATAGAGAGAAACCGGGGAGGGAATGGGACAGGATCATGGAGACAGCCGCAAATCCAACTTTAAAAAATATTCTAAATGTTTGCAAGTCTCCATTGAAAAATAAGAACAGCTGGCATTTATTGAACACTGTGTGTCCAACACTGTCCTAGACATCTTACACTATTCACTCATTTAATCCTCCAACTACTATTTAGCCCATCTAACAGAGAAGTTCATTGAGTACCTTGTTCAAGGCTGCACAGCTAGTGAGCAACAGAGCTGGGATTTGAGTGCAGGAGTTCCAATGCCTCGACCACTGATATGTTATCTCTGAATTAATTCTTGTTAGCATGTCAGCATACTGCTACAGCTAAGAAACCTTTCATGATGGATTAGCTCACCAAAAGCATTGTCTATCAAGGAAAAATGTTAATGGCTACACCTCAGCATTATCAGCAATAGTCGAGAGGCTAGAGGACTGGTGGTGTGCTTGGGGCTTGCCAAATTTCTAGTACTTTCACTGCAGCGGAGGAAGCAGACCCTGAAATGGGCCTGTCTGTCTTGCCACAGTAGAGAGAGTGCCGTGTCTCAAAACATCAGCCCCACTTTCTTTCTGTCCACCAGTCCTCCTTCAGAGCTTCACTCTCTAAGCCTTCATATCCTGGGCTAAACAGGGACCCAGGAGAAAGCCTATTTTAAAGCGTTATCGGTGACCACTTCCGCAGGCCCCACTGCAGGGAGTTGGGCCCTCCAAGAGGTGTGAGTAGATCTGCTGTTGTCAATAGAAAGAGAAGAGACACACTCACAGTGATTGAATTCTCCCAGTCAAGAGCCTATGATGAGCTTTTGGGAGCAAGAGGAGAGGGAGCTGAGTGCTGGGGCTGCTGGTGGTAAGAGAGTTGGGCCTCAATTGGAATCTTGAAGGTAGGCCAGAGCTGCCAGCCCAGAGCAGGGAAGGTATGGGCTTCCCGCGCAGGGACAGAAGCAAGCAGCACGGACCTGCTCACAGCATGGTCAGGGCTGTAGAGGGAGGCATGGCCTCATTCTGCCCTGTAACATGCTGAGGAACTCTATTCCAAAGGCAGTAGGGAGCCATTAAAGAGTTTGGAATGAAGAGCAATGCACACAAAGCTGGGGTTCAGGGGACTTGATTGGCTTCAAGCCCAAAGACAAGTCAGGAGCCTACTGAAGAGGTCTGGGAGAAAGACGGTGAGATCTGAGCTAACAAGATAGGTAGGCATGGGCACAGACAGGAAATACCCAGTTCAAGAAGCAAAGACAGAATGAACAGAATCTGTAGCCTGACTTGGAAGGGTGGGGGTAGAGAGGTGAAGAAGAAGAAGGAGTAGATGGCCACTGAGTGTCAGTGCCTGGGTGGCTGGGGCCACAGTGAAATCATCAGTGGAAATAAGGAAGCTGTGGTTTGAGGTGGTTTGTAGCATAAGACAAGGGGTGGCTATGCCCTTGGTACCCCACAGCATCTTCTCCACACCCACCTCCCTGACTTGAAACTCTTCTTGCTCCATTGCACTGAACCCTGTGCTGTCTTCTCTTCTAAGTTCAAGACTCACTTCCTCAAGGATGCCTTCCAACTCTGGTGATACAGGCCTGCAGCCACAGGAGACTCCTGTGCTCTCCCACCCCGACATCAACACATATGTCTGGGCACCACCTGCTAGTGGATGCTCCGTTTACAGGTTTCAGGGGGGCTTCTTTGAAATTGTAACTTGGATAGGGCTTGTAGCCCGCAGGCCCCCCGAAACAGGATTATGTCCACCCCATTTAGTGCCAAGGAGCGCAGAGGGGGTGTGGCGGCAGCCCGGTCAGTTGGAGTGTCCGTTAATTCTCGGAAGGACATGTGGAGGTGTCCTTCCTCTCCCTGAATCCCCCAGAGCTGCAGGGTGCCTGGTGTTCACTTCCGATGCTGGCCTGCCCTCTGGGGCTGTAGGGGAGCCACACCAGGCCCTTCCTGGACCTGCAGCAGCGCTCCCTGGGCCTCAGTCCAGGGGTGGGAGGCCAGCAAGCCGAGGGGACTCTGCTGCCCCTGAGAGGGGCTTTCATCTTTATGCCTTGTTTCCTGTCCCCAGGCCAGACTTCTTTTCTGGCAAACATTTCTCCCAATCTAATAACAAGGATTCATTTTTGTTGCTGCTGTCAACCGATGATTCATTTTTAATTGCCTTCCGTGTGGAATCTTGGAATAGCTTTTTTATAACCTGTATAACTTCATCCTACAAAATACAAGGATTTATGTAGATCTACTATGTGTGAAGGACAATTCTAGCCCTTTTCATTGTAGGTACAATCAACTTAAAGAACTCTGAGTTAGGAGGGCTTTTGTTTTTTTTACCTTTAAGAAACTACAGGTATACATACCTCAGAGATATTGCAGGTTTGGTTCCAAACCACTGTGATAAAATAAGTGGTATGGCAATAAAATGAGTTGTAGTCTTTTGCTGGTGAAGAGTCTTGCTTTCAATTTGTAAAAAAGCAAAATCTGTGAAGCACCACAAAAATGAAGCGCAATAAAACGAGCTATGCCTGTGTATTATCTTTTTCATCATAGGTTATATTTGATTAAACGTTCATGACTTTCTTTTGTGTAAATCTTACCAGGCCACCTGCTGCAGAAATGCACCTTTGTCATTCTCAGAATGGCCTTTTTTTTTTTTTTTTTTTTACTGTGACTGCATTCCAGGCCCAGGAAAAACATTTATAACAGATGCATGGTCACTGCCCTCTGAGAGCTAGTGTGGGAGACAGACATAGGTTTCGGCAATGGCCTTGAGAGACATGTTTTGATAAGATGAGCTTGGGGCACAGAAGAGGTCCATCTATGGCTGGGAATGCTTAGGAGTGACATAGAGGGCAGCATCCCTGAGGAGGTGACCTGGAGCAGAGTCGCACGTCCAGACGTGCCAGGGGAACCAGGCCCTGCTGACTCGGGGTCACCTTGGAACAGAGTCTCCAGGGCTCGCATCACTCCCTCTCCCACCATGCACACCCCTGTCTTCTCTGTACCCCACACATTTGGAAAATGAACAAGGCCGGGGATCCCCAGATTCCATGACCATGAGAGGCTCTCGCAGGGACAGTTCTCGCTGAGCCATTCAGCCATTCATTGGATTCCTGGTTCTGTGGCCACTGCTCCCATCCCCCTCACCTCCCTCTCAAAATTCCCCACCAGGCTGAGGCTTCTTAAAAAAAAAATGCTGGGAAACGTTTTTCTTCCAGAGGTCAAGAATAAGCTGTCCCACAGGAAATACCAGATTCTTCCCTCTGAGCTAGCTGAGGCTCCAAGCCTGCCCGGGGCCTCCTCCAGCCCACGCCTGTGGCCAGGGGTCCAGCCTTTGAATGGCTTGAAAAAGCTGCCTGCTCTGATGCTTTTTCTGGTGAGGGGGTGCAGGCTGTGGTCTAAATGCTCCACTTATCTGGGTGGTCTCACTACAACCTTTGCAGTTTGTGCCATTTTCGTTTAAGGCTGGAGGCAGCTGGGGGACTAAAACCAAAGGGCAATCAAGTATTTGAGCAGGATGTGCCCTGGGAATGGGGTATCTGCTCCTAGAGCCTTAGCCTCAGACTGAGGGGAGAGTGCAAGATGGGGTCTATTTCCTCTAGGCCTCGAGCTGGGGCCAGAGGTCACCTCAGCCTTCTATTGCCCTCCCAGATAAATGGAAATTTCTCTCTCTAGAAGACGGTTAAACTCATTCTTCCATTTCTGGGACTCACTGTTCGTATCCTTGTGATGGACTTCCTGAAAATCCAACCTAAATCCTTTCTGTTGGAGTTTCAGCAAATTCTGTCTTCTGCAGTGAGAGAGATAGCAACCCATTGGGCTTCCCTGTGGGAGAACTTAGTGAGGTCTTTCCCAAGAGGCAAGATCCTGTATAAGGGGGTAGAGGGTCCAGATCAGCCGTCTTGCCCAGGTAGTCAGTAGAACTGGGGTTCCCTTGGTTTTGGTTTTGGTTTTTCCCAAATACAAGTGAAAGTTTATTTAGAACGTCATGGAGGTAGAAAAAGTGAACCAGTGGGGTTATACGGGCTCAGAAAACAAGTTACAGAGGCAAAGGAAGGGTTCTTGGAGCTTAGGAGAGAGAGCAAAGGTATGGCCTGGAGAGAAGAAGAGGGGAAAAGGTACAGGCATGCCCCAGAGAGAGAGAATATAAACAAGAACCAAGGTTTCTCTGTTTAAGGCATACCCAGGTGCCAAGAAATAAAGGGAACTATTACAACTCAGCTTTCTCTTGAAGCCCTAGTGGGATTCTCTGGGCAGAATTGATATCATCCTTCCTCTCTCTGAATGTCCTTGTATTTGTTGGTCAAGTCTGTGCATCCATCTAATCAAGGTGAGGGTACTTTTTAGATCAAATGCCTTTTGAGAGTCGCACCTGTTGGCCTCCTTCTGACCATGCACCCACACATATGCCTAGGTGGGATACACACAGCTCTGCCCCCACAGGGCCAATGGCTTGTGCCAGGCAGTGGTGGGAGAAGGGAGGTGGCCAAAGTCAGTGGCTCCAGGCAGCAGAATGCACGTCGCTCTGGCTCCTCTGTCCCCCTCCTTAAGTGATGACTGCTTCTCTGACAGCAGGGGCAGCTTTGGGCAGGACACCATGCTGTTGGCTTGTTGAATGCCTCAAGGCAGGAGCTAGGGTCCTACCTGGCCCAGCAGGCCCAGTCCTCAGCTGACCTCTCCCACACCCCAAGGGAAACTCTGCAAGGGGATCCCCCCAGAGAAGGATCTAACCATAGGATGAGAGACCCAGGATGGGTAAGGACCAGACCCCAGATCTCTGTGTATAGCCAGCCTGATTCCTCCTCCTCACCCCCAACCCCTCCAGACCAAAAGAGATGTGTGAGGGCAAATGTAGACCCGGTGAGAGTCTGTGGAAAAAGAATGCTACTTCCACCCCTCTCTGAAGTGACCAAAAGCCCCAGCACCGACGGGAGGCAGCACCAAAGGGCCCTCTCCCAACCCAGTGCCCTTCATTGGCCATGATTCTCAGCTCAGGTACCATTCCTGAAAAACCAGCCCCAGGGTCCCAGGCTGCAGCCACCTTCCTCTAGCGGATCTTCCCACAGGCCAGTGTCCCTGCTGGACAAGACTCCTGCCTTCCCTCACCCACCCCTCTGTTGAAAACTTTCTTTTCTAAGATGCATCCCAGAATCACTGCTATAAACTGAGCAGAGCTCCCTCACCTACCACTGTTCCTGCCACAGGTCTATAAACCTGTGCCTAACTACTGCTTATCTCTCTTGGTGATGTCCCAATGTGCAAGGCCTGTGTCCCTCTGCTCCTTCCTTGTATTAGTTGACAGGGACTATGTATTTTTCTTCTTCTGTGCCTTTTTTTTAATGTCTTCATAAGAGAACTCTCTGGAAGGGGGTTGGGAATACCAAGAGGAAGTATATTTAAGGATCGGTTATCTTGGACCTGGGTTATGAGCAGAAAGTGCCCTGGCTTTAGTGAGTAGAGGGGTTGGTTCCCACAGGGTCTCTGACTTCTGGGCTCCCAGAGGCTGCCCATGTGAATAACCCTTGCCAACTGTGCTCCAGGTTCCAGGGCAGGTGTTGGACCCATACCTGATCCACTCAACAGTTCTTCCTCCTCCTCTCCAGGCTCCCTGTGCTCCATCTCCATCGAGAAGGCGCTGCCAGAGGACAGAGGCTTATACAAGTGTGTAGCCAAGAATGATGCCGGCCAGGCTGAGTGCTCCTGCCAAGTCACCGTGGACGGTAGGTTGTGCCCACCCATCACCATCACACAGAGTCCCGCTTCTCAGACACCCCCGCTTCTACCACGCCTGAACAGAACTGCGCCCAAGGCTCCCATCCCTACCCAAGGCACCTTGTGGGTATCAAGCTGTCTTTTGCAAAAACACAGCAAGAAGGAATGTGAGAGCCCTACGTGATGGCTCTTTGTGGTGGCCTCAGCCCCACTCCTGGCTGGGAGGAGGAGCTGCTCACCTTGTTGCTGCCCCTCCCCAGTCTTGGCCCCACCCTGGAGAACCTTGCTGAATAGGGAAGCCGGGCACAGGGCAGGAGGAGAAAAGACACACCCACAGGAAAATGACAGCATAGTATTTTACAAGCCGCAGCAAACAAGCGTCAGTGCTGGCAGGACAGACCGTGAGGAGGAGGGAGCAGAGAGGGGTCCAAGAGGGGAGACTTCATGGAGGAGGTGAGTTGGGGCTGTGTATTTCTGTAGAGGGGACAGGGCTGCCTCTGGGAGAAGTAGAAGGCAAGAGTCTTAGAGCAGAGGAAGGGAAGAGACCTGCGGGGGCAGTGAGGCCTGCCAGGTCTGAGTGGAGCTGCCCTGTGATGAAGGGGCAGGCCCAAGCTGTGAGGAGTTGGGATTTGTCCTAAAGACATGCAGGCAGGGTATTTGTGTCTCTTCTTTCTCCCCTCTGTGTGCAGTTTAGAATTAGAGACTTGGAAGCAGAACAGTCTTGTGCTGATTTAGGCTACCACCCTCATTTCACAAAAGAGAAAACTGAGGCCATTCAGAGAGGGACAGCATCTTGCGTGAAGGGCCATTAGCGCCAAGCCCCAGCCAGAATTCATCTCCGGACTCAGTCTAGTACCCTTCCTCTTTAGTTTTGTTATTTGTTTGCAACTATTTTATTTTATTTTATTTTATTTTTTATTTTTAATTAATTTATTTACTTTTTAAATACATTTGTCTCTGCCTTCCCCCCACCTCTTTCCCTTGCCCCCTCCCACCTGTTTGCAACTATTTTAAAAGGGAGTTTGGGGAAAACAATTTCTTGCCCTTGAAATGCTTGTTAGTAACCTTTAGAGACACTATTTAAGAACTAGGGAACAGAGAACATACCTTGAAGACCAGCTTTGTTGTGCTCACTGCTGAATCTGATCACTTGGATTCTAAAATTCTACCTTTGTTACTGGCATTGCATAAAATACAGAATCTTTGTCCCCACTCCGGATTTTATCATCTGATTTCCTGGTCACAAAAGTGGAGATTATATAATGAATGGGAGAGAAGAAAAGAGAGTTTTAAGAAGAAAAATGTTTTAAAAAAAATACACACAATGGCAACACAAATTAAATTGTCAATAGCCAACAGTAAAGCTAAAAGTGTCAAACATCATGCATCTACCTAGAGTTCTGTGAGTGCACCTGCCACAGGGGCTCCGAGTCTCAGGAAACAGATTTGATGGATTAAGGTGTATGGTCAGTTCAGAAGGCGGCTTGAAACACATATTTTGAGGCTCTGAGTAGGGTCTGCTGCTGCTGATTGGTTACTCCTGTGTGTGACCTGGACTGTTACCCACTCAGGGAGACCCTGCTTCTCCCTATGCAGGTGCTGCAGTTAAAAAAAAAAAAAAAAAAAAAAAAAGTAGTGTTTCTGCGAACTTGACCCCAGAAGCTTACTGCTAACAGCCCCAGTACTCACGTGGGACCCATGCTGGTTCCAGCCAATCAATAAGGAAACTCCTCCTGCTAATGAGATTATCTGCGTTTTGAATCCCCAGCCTCCTTGAGTCCTATTCACACTGAAAGCAGGACAGCAATTCATTCTCCTTATCTGCAAAATGTCAGCACCTTTTTGAGGAACAGCAAATGGTTTATTTTTAAAACCAAACTTTGTTTTCAAAATAAAATTTCTTTTTCCCCTACAGAATAATTTGGGGATTCTTTTTTTAAAAAAAGTTTTGGGGAATGCATCCTGCATCTTATGGAGCTTTTTTTACCCATAAATTGGCCTCCTTCTAGTTTATTTTCTGGCTCTCTCCATTAATCTTGATGGTCTTCATTATTTATCTCTAGTTCCTGCAAGAGGCCCCTGAAGGGCTTGGCCTCAGGCTGCAGATTGGGAGGGGGGGCGGTGGGGGGGGTCTTTGGAGAAGAGCAAGGAAAGGGATCTGAGGTAGACCAGCTGAGATAATAGGTCTGACTCTCTGTTGGGTTTTGTTTTGTTTTGTTTTGTTTTGTTTTGTTTTTTCAAAGAGACAAAGGGCACCCCCTCGACACCTGCCATTTTTCCTGTTGCTATACTTGGAGATATATTAGTGTGCTACATGCAGGTGGGCTTCTTGCCACTTTTGGCTTTATTTTCCCAGCAACAGCCACCTCTGGGCAAATACTAAAGGACTGTAGTCTCTGTAACTGTTCCCCTGCCCTTTTCAGCACCTTTTCCCCTGCTGTGCTCCACTCAGCTGAATAGGCTTCCTGTCCTTGGTCTGTCTCCTGATCTTCTGAGCTCTCCCCCCTTCCCAAGGCAACAGCACCTAACTTAGAGATCCCAGTGGGTCCATGCACCCTTGGAAATCACGGGCCGCCACGGTGGGCCCTGCCACTCCGTGGGGCCCTGCTCCCAATAGCGCTGTCACTCACGCAGCCTGTGCCAAACACCATTAAGACTATACATCTGTGGCCGATGTAATGATACATTTTAAGACCTCATAAAATGACTTTGGCTCATTGGCTGTTCTGTATTAACCATACTACCGTTTCCCTCTCACAGTAAAGGCAAAGGAAGGTAGCCTTCATGATGCAGCAGACTGGTTGTTTCAATCATGCTGTCTGAGTCTCTTCCCTAAGAAAAAGGATGCTCTTCTGCACTTTCTTGAGTATGGCCACACTGCCCTTCCTTCCAAGTGTGGTAGAGGCAAGTGTCAACTTGTATCGTAGAAGGAAACCGAAGCCTAGAGCAGGTAAGGACTTGCCAGAAAGCCCACCCAGGAAGGAAAAAGGCTGACCTTCAAGGCTTGCCTTGTGCATTTTTAGTTCATGCATTATTTCGGCAGAGTGTCTTTGTCACTGAGAAAACCGAGGCTCAGGGAGGGTCCGCAGCCTTCCCAGGCCACGCAGACAGTATGCAAGAGACGCAGTGTCCTGGGGTGTCTCTCAACACACACCCTTCGAGCCACCCTGCACAGGGAGTTTCAAATGAGTTACCCTGGCCATCCTCACACCTGGGTGTGTCTGGTTCTGAAGCTGCACCTTTCCACGACATAGTATGGCCTCCTGCCTAATGAATAACATGGCAGTGTCTGCTATCCAAGAATTCCAGGCCTCCCCTCAGTAACAGCCCTTCCTGCTGGGAAGTCCTTAGCGTACCTGGCCTGAGTGACCCATTCCCACTTATTCTGATTCAGGCGAGAGGTGAGGAAACAAAGACGTTTTTAGGTCAAAATCCCAAGGCAGGAGCCCGAAGATACCTCAGCACCCACACCGGCTCATCCAGCCCTTCCCTGCTCAGGCTGCCCTTCCCCCGACAGCCTGGTTAAGGGCCTCCGGCCTCGGCCTCGACTGCTGGTGCAATCAAGGGCTTTGTGACCATGGAGTGCTGTGCACGTTCCAGTGGCCACCCACACCATCATTCATTCCACAAATATGTGAGTGCCCACTCTGCCAGGCGCTGCTCTAGGAGCCAAGGTTAAAAGCAGGGAACAAAACAAGTTTCTTCTCTCAGGGATTTCTGATTCTAATGAGGGGGAGGCAATAATACAGATGCATTGATCTGTCATAAATTCTCAGGCAATATCACATGCTTGAAAAAAGCAAAGTGGGATAATGGGGAGGGAAGGCTGTTTTGGAGAGGGTGGTTGTGAGGCCTCTCAGGAAGTGACATTTGAACAGAGACCTGAAGGAAGTGAGGGAGGGAGGCATGGTGGCTGAGCCTGAAAAGGGGGCAGAGTGATGGGAAACGAGTGTGAGGGGGAACAGTAACCAGATCCACCAGGCCATGTAGGCTGCAACAGGAGAACTGGATTCTATTCTAATTGTGATGGGACAACACTGAACATCGAAAGGATCACCCATGTGGCTGTGTAGTGGCCAGACCCAGAGTGGGTAAGAGGGAGAGAGATCAGGAGGACCCTGGAAGGCTGCTGCCATAGTCCATGCAGGAGACAATGGGAGCTTAGGCTCTGTGGAAGAGGTGTCAGATAATCGGATTCATAATCTATTTTGATGGTAGGGCTGATAGGATTTACTGATGAAAGGGAAGTCAAAGGCAACTCTTAGTCTGTGGGGAGTGTGTGCAGATCAATGATGATACCACCTACTGAGATCAGAATGCAAGAGTTAGGGGAACAAGCAAGAGTTTCATGCATGTGAAGTTAAAGATTCCCACTAGACATCTAGGTGGGCGTGTCACACAGACGGGCATTTCGATAAATCTGCATTGAGGACAGAGGACAGAGGCCAAGGTTGGTGATGGGATTTGGAGAGCCATACGCATAGGAGCTCATTTAAGGCCCTGGAATTGAGCGAAGTCCCTAAAGAGTGGCTATGAGTGGGACAGGGAAGGAAGCAGAGTCCACCATTGAGAAGCGGAGCCGGACAAAAGTCTGTGAAGAAGGCTGAGATGGAATGATCCCAATGAGACAGGAAGAAATCCGAGGGAGAGGTGTGTCCCAGAAGCCAAAAGGTGGTCTTTTAGATAAGAAAGGAACGATGGAGGTCAGTGCATCAAATGCTGTTGCCAAGTAGAGTAAAATGAGCCTGAGCGCTGGCCACTGGATTTGGCAAGCTGGAGCTCATTGGTAACTGTGACGAGGGGGTCCAGGGGAGTGATAGTGAAAAAGCCTGGTTTGAGGCACACAGAGACTGAGTCTTTGCTGAAGGCCACGCAGCTAATAACTAACTGAGTAGGAATTTAAATCCAAGCCTTGGCTCCTAAACACTGCAACCCATCTGCCACCATGCTCACCTCTGACGGTGACTGAACTGATTTCAACCTGCCCTTCTTTCCTGGGCCTCAGTCCTGCCACATTCATAAGTCTGCTTCTGTTTTCACATTTATTCTTAATAACATCATAGGCAACTCACATGTATTCATTTGAACTAAATAAAATTGGTCTTGGTAGGTTGATTATTGGTGGATGGTATGGTTTAATGTGAAACAAGCATACAAAGGACTTAGCGTTATGCCAGTCACAACTAAGCACCCAATAAATGCCAGCTATGACTTTACGTCCCATTCGCTGTTCTCTTGGGGTATTGTTGTTCCTGTTTTCCTGGCAGAAAAGGTCAGGCTCAGGAAAGTTCAGGAGCTTGCCCAGGGACTCAGTCACCAAGCAGCACAGCCAGAAAGGCACTGTTTCCTAAGTAGATGCTCTTGGTTATGCCAGCATGCTGCTCGCTCTTGGGAAGAAAGGGAGACCCACCCCTCTGTTCTGACCCCTCATGGGGCTCCTGGAAACTCGGACCCCTCCCCAAAATCCTCCCTATACCCCTTGCCCCCTGCCTAGGGTAAGAGCTCAGGGAATCAACACCTTAGGGGAGACAGAAGAAAAAATGCACCCCCGGAGGACTAAGTCCAGAGCTAGCCCAGGAGTGGAAGGGATAAGGCATTGTCCATTTAAGGACATGTTTGCCTCTCTTTATGGAGGCCCCCCACATCCCCCACTGCCATCTTCCTCCCCGTGCTTCTTCAGGGCACAGCCAGACAAGCAAAGGACTCCAGCCCTGGGGTCCAGATCTAGAAATGCAGTTCCATTTCATCGCCAACTGATTAAATGCAAGCTGCTCTTAAACTTTTATTACTATTATTTTTATCCCTTGGGCAGCTGTGTGAGCACAAAGCTGGTTTTGATTAAGCACATGATCCTTCCAGCCCACTGCTTGCTGTGGTTCTCACGGAGGTCTAGTGGCTTGGCTTGTGGTGCACGCACAGCCTCCTTGGGGTGGGGGTGGGGAACTGCAGAGGAAAGGGGGGGCTCTTAGTCAGGGGTGTACCTGGTTTGAAAGAAAAAGAGTCCCTTTTTTCATGGGCACATGGAAAGATAAGGTGCCTAGAACTTCTAAAAACAAGGCTCAGAGCCCATGACAGGGAAGTGCACTCAAGTGTCAGCATAAAGCCAGCACCCAAGAGCTGAGGACAGATGCAGAGGCTGGAAATATGCAGTAGGGGCTGGTCGGGGAGGGCTTTCTGAAGGTAGGGAGTTTTAAAGCAGACTTGGAAGGAGGCAAGGAGATGTGGTGAATGGGAGGGATGAATTAATAGTAAACAATCATTTTTCTGCTGCCCAGAGCACTGTTGCATGCATTCTCCCCTTTGAGCCTTGTAACACTGTGAGGTAGAGAAAGTAAATGCCATTCCCTTTGTACAGACGTGGAAATAGAGACCCGAGGCAGTTGGAATTATTTGCCCTTAATCCCAAAATTGCCGACAAAGCCAAAACTAGAACCCTCCTCTCTGGGTCGTATTCTAACACTGTTTAGAAGAAAAGCCCAACACAAGCCCATCAGGAGAGAAGGAATCTCGGGCCCTATTCCTCTTCTTTCAAGAACCCAGGAAAACTGGGTCTCACCCTTTGCTTGCTTATGCCTTGGTTTACCTATCAGTTCAAAACAAAACAAAACAAAACATAAAACTCTGATCCCTCTTTTATCTCCCTCCTCTGATGCCCTAGAACTCACCAGGAGAAAAATGGCAAAGAGAATGTTGGACCTAAGGAACACAGACATGTCTATATGTGTTCTGCCCCCTCCTCCTTCTCCTTAAAAAGGAGGAAAACAAACAAATTGCTGGGTACACCATTCAATTGTTATTGCTGCATGGCAGAGTGTTGGTTGTGAAAGAAGGACAGTTGGGAGGGCCTTGGACAAGGGAAATGTGAACTTGCCCCACGCCCTGGATTTGGAGCCCTAATCTCCAGTATCAAGGGAAACGTGGACAGGTTCCCCTGTCTCTTGCAATAGCCCCCAATACTCTCTCTCCCTGTGCCCCAGCACAACCTCTGAATACACACACGTGCGCGCGTGCACGCGCTCACAGAGCCTGAGGAGAGAGATCGGGAGTTTTCAACCTAGCAGCGTATTAGAATCCTCTGTGGAGTTTCTGGATAATATTGGCACCCAGCCCTAACTTAGACCCATTAACCCAGGATCTAGGGAGTGATACTTGGGTACAGGTGCTTCTAATGTGTAGCCAAGGTTGAGACACAGAGGTTGACAAATAATGTACTGAGGATATTTCTGTAGCTGAGAATGACCACTATGCCTCAGGAAAAAGCCTGTGTGAGAAAATGAAGTCGTCCTCTTCCCATTGTTCTCTTTGGTCCTCTCTCCATTTCCACATGGACCCTGGTGTGGGAGCTACCGACTGAGGAGACAAGATGCAGGCTGTGTCAGCTACAGGTGACAGGGATCCCTGACTCACTAGCTGGGGCTTCTTGCTCTTATGGAAGGTGGTAGAAGGATAACATGCAGTAAGGGATGGAGGCAGCATAGAGGCCTGGTTCTCGAGTGCTGCTTAAAATGATTTCTGCCGGCTCTACCCCCTCAGCCCCATTCCCTGTCATATATAGCCCCAAACTCTACTTAGTCATTCCTGTAGTTGCACGCATACAGCTCTGGGCTGACTCCCTGGGGACCTGTGTGCCTTGTTGCTGCTGTGAGCCTGGACAATGCCTGCCCCAGGCCTCCACCCTGGATTACCCAGCTAATAGGAAATGGGCAGGATTCAAATGGGCAATTCCACATTCTGGAGCAGGAAAGAGACCCAAATGCCTTCTAGAAGAAGCAATGCATCCAGATGGGAGCACCAAGAATCCCTGTGCCAGCCCCTGGTGTTCTGCTCCCCATGCCCACCCCAGTACCCCAGGAAGAGAGCATGTGTGAACAGCGAGGACTGCCCACCCGGGAGGCGGGGACAGCAAGATGGCTCTTCCTCCCGGCCAAACCACAGGAATGTGGCTGAAGTCTCAGCTGGAAAGTCCCACCTCCTCCTTTCTTCCTCTCTTCAGGAGCAGGAAAAGGATGGACAGGAAGGGGCTCTGATGAGCAGGCTCCCTCCCAGCACAGCCCCTGAAGAAAGCTCCTTGTGGGGAAAATGCTGGAGCATAGTGATAGCTGTTGGGCCAGCTGCTGCTTATCTGAGGCCCTGGGTGGTTTCCCCTCAACTTCCTAAAGTCCTGTCTCCTCAGGGCAGTGAGGGCCTTTTTGGCTCAACGTGGCCCAACCTAGCGTGATGTTACCTGCCGTTTTCCACAAAGTGCACATTCCATGGAAGAGGGAGGTGGAGGAGAGGCCTGAGGATTTGGGCACTTATCTGCGCAGCATTTTAGCTCTGCCTGAAGGCTGTTGCTGCAGGGTTTCCCTGGGTCCTCTTTGGGGAGGGGTCCAGAAGCCCCAACAATAGGCCCAGAGCAGGTGAGGCTTGCAGGCCACCTGCTCAGTGGTCTTTGTCTGATTTGGAGGCTTAACTGTCAGCGTCCATCTGTAGAAGGAGGTCTAAGAAATCAGAGGCTGCAAGCCTCCTCCAGACCCTGAGCCCATGGGCAGGACCCTGTTCCCTCCTTCCTCTGTGCAAGAGACTTATCCACACAGAGCAGACTTTCGGAGATCCATAATGTTTACCCTGTGAGAGTCAAGACCCATGAAGGGAAAGAATGGGGAGAGGTGAGCTGAGGGGTGCTGACTCTCCCCCTGCCCTTCATGATATGATTTCTGGCAGCAGGGGCCTGCTGCGGAAGGAAAAGTGTTAACTAGCTCCCAGGGTAGCCTGTCCATCCATCTTGCCAAGGCGACTGTGCTCTCTACCTGATTTATACAGCCCAGTGCCGTGGCACTCCTTCTTTGGTGCTCTTGTGGAAAAAGGTCCCAGGCGCAGGCGCAGGCTGTTCAGCAGGCACTAAAGGCCTCAGAGCAGGACTGGAAAGGGAAGGGAGCTATCGTTTTGGTTGGAGTGGGATTTTCATTGAGATGCCACCTCAGCTCATTTCCTTGGGCAGCTGCAGACTGATGTTTGTGGTCCCCTCTTTTGTTCCAGATGCTCCTTCCAGTGAGAATGCCAAGGCCCCTGAAATGAAAGCCCGGAGGCCCAAGAGCTCTCTTCCTCCTGTGCTAGGAACAGAGAGTAAGTACTTGTTCAGTTTTTCTAGGCAACCCCAGGACTGAGGGCCAACAGAGACCACCACTGCCTGGCCTGTACTCCTGAAAGTCAGGCCCTGGCCTGCACCCAATTGCCCTGTGAACTCCTGGAGATGGAGCCTGTGGGCCTTTCTCAGACCCTCCCATCTCTCTTCAGCCTCCTCACAGCTTGTGGGCACAACCACATCCGCCCTCAGTTTCACCCCTGTTCTTTCCACTTCTCACAAGACTCCCATGAGAGCTTCTCCTTACCTCTCCCAGGTGAGGCTTTCCTACTGGTGGGTAGACTTTTGAAACTGTGGCTCTGACCTTATTGCTTCTGGCAGGAGTGCCCAGCAGGCCCCGGAGCTCATGTCTCTCACACAAGTGAACCTCTCACACTGTGCTGCCCTCCGTGGCTCACCCGCCACGCAAGCACGCGCACACACGGTCTGACGTGGACTTAGCCTCCTTTCCAGGTGCTGCCCCCATTTCCTTTACTCCTAGTTTATACTCAAGCCAAACTGCACTCCTCAGTGTGCACTGGACATCCTTGTGTTCCTCCCTTTACACCTTAGTTCTGGCACTTCTCATGAGACAGGCTCCCATGGAAAAGCCATCTCCCCTCCAAATTTGTCCCTGCTCCATCTGAAAGTAACTTCCCTCCTATGCGCTCCAGTAGCACTCAGCTCCTCCCTTCTGCCATTGACTGTCTTCTTCACAGTGTCTTGGTGATGTGTCTAGTTTCACTCTCTTTCCTCCCCTCTAAGTTCCCTGAGGGCCACAACTAAGCCTAGTCACGCATGTGCCTTTCAGGATGACTCGTGCTGCCTTGCTCATAGAAGCCTTTATCATGGTCTCTGAGAATCCAACTGTAGCTGTGTTATAAATAGCCAAGGGGCAAGGAGCTTCTCCTGTGACTGAATACAAGCTCCCTCCTCCTCTCTTGGATCTCAGCTCCCCCTTGGCCCACTTAGCTGTAGGCATAAAGCAGAGGGTCCACAATGCTTTTACGGGTCCACAAATGTATCCTAACATCTTATAAAATTAGAAGAAAAAAAATAAACTTTAGGTTAAAAATGTTTTAATTAAAGTTAATATGTTCATCTTTATACCAAGTGTATTTCAATACACTTGGAAATATACAAGGGGGAACCCAGAAAACTGGAATTTATTTATAAAAATTGTATATTTATTCTTACATGTTTAAACTTCAGTCACCTTCAAAATACTCTCCATTTGATGCAATACACCTATCGAGACCATTTTTCACTGCTCAAAACAGTTTTTGAACTCATTGATTGTGATGCCTGTTTAGTGCTTCTGCCGTTTTTTGTTTCACCTCTTCCACATCGGCACAACGTTTACCTTTGAGGATTTTTTTCATCTGGGGAAACAAAAAAAAGTTGCTCACGGTGAGATCAGGAGAATAGGGAGGGTGGGGCATGGGGTTCATGCCGTTTGTGATCAAAAACTTCTTAACACTCAGCACACTGTGGGCAGGTGCACTCATAAATCACCCGTCATGAAATGGACAAACAAGCTGAAAGAGTCTTCAAAAAAAAAAATTCACTGAAGTAGAATGCAGTATCTCCCAACAATGCCTGCTGGTGCACTGATACAGATGGGTTCCTAGAACACACACCTAGCAGAGGTAGCCTGTATTACAAGGGGCCCGTCTTCCAGAGGATAATTCCAATTTTGGAGGGACACCCCCTTGTAATTTATATGTGTGTATATGTATATTTTTTCTCTTTATTGGAGGAAGGGGTCAAGGAAGGCAAATGTGCCTGCAGTCCACAAGGTCATAATGTAGCAGCGCTTGCTTCCCCTACTCATTAATTATTGGTCTGATTTTGTTAGAACTATGCTTTGAACCCTCCAATTTTGACTGAGAATGTGGAATTTTTGAACATCACTCACATGCACTTTCTATGTTTAAAACACAAAGATAAGCTCTTGAATACCCATACTAATAGAGGGAAGTGATTGAGCTTGATTATTTCGAAGCCTGTTTGTCTTTCCATTACAACACAGTGTTCTGTAACTTAGTTTTACTCTTCTTTTCAAAGCATCTTATTTCCCCTCCTAATGATGAACTTGGGCTCCTTGCACTATACTAACCAGGCTTTCGGGGATGCTCAGCCTTCAGTATGTTGGGTCTGCCTTGGATATATCTATCTATCTCTATATATATAGATATATTATATTGATATCAATATAATATATTGATATCAATATAATATATTGATAATATATATTATATATGATATCAATATTATATATATATAATATCAAGAGTGGATCTTCAATAAGTTGTTAGAAGTGCATAAGAAAAACCTAGTAAAAATGGGTTAATGATTTTTATCTTACAGAAGGATTTCCTATGCCAGTGCTCTATTAGTTATAGGAAATGTGAGCGGAAGAGACTCAGGATCTTAGAAGAGCACCAAGTACTTGTGAATTAGGGGTCTCACTGGTCATTCACCAGTCCTGGGGGCACAAGCAGGGGTGCATGAAGTTTAAGCTGGGAGGCCAGTACCTTCCTGTCCTCAGCTCTGGTCCATCCATTCCAGGGAGGTCCTGAGGGAGGTGAGACAGGGTCAAAGGAGAGCTGGGAAAGAGAAAAACAAGCTGGAGACAGAGAGCAGATCAGCCCTGGGCTCTCTACCCTGAAGAAGAGAGAGAGGTGGAAAAGTCCAAGTTGTCATCATCCAATTCTAGGGCAAGGCCTCTCCACCCTGGCTGCACAGTAGATTCACCTGGGGAGCTTTTAAAAGCACCACTCCCCAGGCTGCACCCCAGACTAATTAAATCAGATTCTTTTGGGTTGGGACCCAGGCTTTAGTATTTGTTTCAGTTCTTGGGCCATTCCAGCGTGCAGTAGGTTAGGCTGGAGACCAGATGTTCCGGAGGAAGGCCCAGGGCCCCTGTGCTGTTGGTCTTGAGAAGCAGAGGGGTCTTCTCTACAGCCTCCAGTAAGTGTGGACACCTCAGGGTCCCTCAAGGTCCAGTCCTCAGAGTATCTCAGTCACCACCTGTGCTGCTGGGAGCAAGATGTTCTGCTCTGTAGTGGGCAGGCTGGGCGCCTCAGTTCTCACCCCTCCGGAGGGAGCAGGAAAGGGTCTTAGTCCGCAGTGCTGCTTAGTGAGAGGTGCAGGGCTGGCAGAAAGTGTTCATCTCTATAGAAAATGAGTACATTCACATCTGGATTGACTCTAGAAACCACTGCTTGTATGCTGAAGGGGAATTTCACTCTACGTAGAGAGCCTTCCCATAAGGGTTATAGACGTACATCTTACCCCCAAAGGAATGGAAGTGTGTCTGCACGAACAGCAATAGCCACTTGGAATTCCTCTGCTGGCCCACCCACGCAGACTCTGCCCCAACCTGGTACTCCCTGGGGCACCTAAGAAGGTAGCTTCCCAGGGATAGGAAATGAGGACCGTGTCTTTTAGGTCTGCACTGCTGTTTTCTTCTCACTGGGGGATAATTTGTATTATTTATTAATCACATAAGTATGCATACATTCTTGTTTAAATATTTTAAGCAATTTCAAAATATACCAAGTGCAATATGAAAGGCCTTTTTCTCTATCCCCAGTTCCACTCACCTCAAATAATATACATATGCAAATATATCACACAACCTGTACACCTCTGCAACTTGCTTTCTTTCTCTCAGCATCGCCATCCCCAGTCCCAGGTATCTGTGATATCATTAGAAAGCCCACAGACTCGTGTCCCTGAGTGGTCTGGCTGTGTATATGTGTTCATTTTTGTCAAGGGCTGGAAAGTACCTACTCTAACCAGGAAATCCATCCTTCCTGCCTGTGACTGTGGGAAGGCTGAGAGGTTTTCTTGTCCAACAGATTGTGGCCAGGTCCCTTTCTGTATGCCCTCCCCACTGCAGCTGCCACATCCAGTCCTGGGAGTGAGGTGTCAGGTGTGCGAGTGGAAAAAGCTCGCCCACACCATGGCCCGAGAGTCCCGAGAGCACAGCTGCTGCTGAGCCAGTCGGCCCCAACCCCAGGGCAGGGCGAGAGAAAACTGACAGAAGTACAAGGTAGCCTGCCAGACCCCGACTCACAAGTATAGGAGTGTAGAGGGGGTCCTGTGGGGAGGTTTAGGGATATGGGAGACTCTGGGCCAGGTTATACATTTAGGAGGAGAAGAATGTAGTTTGGTTGAAGAAGGATGATAACATTGCTGGAGGGAGAAACTGCAACATGCTAGAATGAATATTGTGAGGACACCTGACTTAGAGGACCATCTGCTTGCCGTACAAAACAAGTATTTATTGAGCACGTACGGCAGGCATTGTCTTAAGCTCTCAATCTATGTCACTTGAGGCAAGTCTCACCCTACGGAGCTGTTCCCATTTTACAGATGAGCAAAACTGAGCCTCAGAAACTAAATTTTCCTACCCAGGGTTTCACAGCTAATAAGACGCAGAACTGTGAGGCCAAGCCTGCTCTGTGTTCCTGCCAAGACAAACTCCCTGTGCCTTGCTGTCACCTCAGAGCCACACTTTGTGCTGTCCACACAAGCCTGGGAAGTGCTTCTGTCTGCCCACTTGGGGTGCAAAGTCTGGCTATCATTAGGGCTGGGGGGCAAAGGAGGGGACAGCTGCCGTGCCTCTCTGGATCTTGAGACTTGTCAGGGTGTTTGATGCATGCCTCTCCATGGGAATTTTTAAATAACTTTATGTGATACAATTTCAAATTTGCAGAAAAGTTGCAAGAATAGAACAATAAACTTTCATATATATTTACGTAGATTCACCAATTATTTACATTTTCTTCCATTGTTTTATTCTGTATGTATATATTCATATAAATATTCAGATCATATAGATATATATACTGTGTATATGTTCACATATATATTTACCATTCATCATTTAGGTACAAGGGGGAACCCAAAAAACCAGAATTTATTTATTAAAAATTGTGAATTTATTCTTACTTGTTTAAACTTCAATCACCTTCAGAATACTCTCCATTTG